CCAAAAAGAGTCCTCTTTGCCTGGAATGTATCCCTTCTCCTGTCTGCCTGCTGAAAGCCCTCTCTTCCTCCAAGGCCCAGCTTAGACACTACTTCTTCCAGGAAGCCTTCACAGGTCTATTGCCCCCCCACAGGCCTAACCAGAAAATGATCTCTGACTCTCAGTTTTCCTAGACCACTTTGTCAAGATGTTGCCTGTTCCCAACATACAGCCTCATGGTACATTGTGTGCTTACATGTCAGCTCCCTCTCCCACCCCTCCTAGATTATAAACTCCTTAAGTGGAGAGACTGTGGGTGGTTGTTGTCATCTTTTTATGTGCAGTCTAAGAGTACATGGTAAGTACTTAAATGTTCAGCCAGAAATGAACTGAATGAAGGAGGAAGTCTGAGAAAACATGGAGGCAGAGAGAATAAAATTGGAGTTTATTAATCTGAGGAGACCAAGGCAGAGTCCAGGGCCTTAAACAGAAATTGAGGCTCAGTCTCACATAAGAATCTCACTTCCTACGGGAGCAACTTGTTAATTGTGTTATCAATTGCATTCTTAAAACGGTTCTTAATTCTTTCACCCAGTCTCCTAAATGTGTCCGCAATCCTTCTAAAAATTCCAAGTCTCTTGATCTTTTCAGGCTGCAGAGGGAAGAAAAACATTCTTAGTCCAGGTCTTCTGGGGGGGGTCAGGCTGAAGAGGGAAGAAAAACCTGCCCACCAGGGAATGGAGTAACTTAGAGCTTCATGAGACTCAGAACTTGGAGGGCCCTCCACAGTGTCTGGTGCAACCTCCCCACTAGAAAGCAGGAAACTTAAGACAGAGGGTGGTGCAACTGGCAGACCCAGGACTCAAGCCCAAATTTTCCTTGCTCCTCTAAACCCAGTGCTCCACCCAGCATAGAAAACTAAAGGCTCAGGGGCTTCTTCATGTTCATTTTGAAAATGATGAAAAGTCTTCCCAGGACACCCTCCTCCTGTTTCTGTGCCCAGGAGATGGAGAAGACAATGAGAAGTCCTTACCTCATGCCTTAAAACTTTCTACCCTCTAGGAGCACCTTGGTACCAGGTCACATTGGCTATGCCCCTGGGATGACCACACCTGAACTCACAGCCCCTTCTTCAGAGTGACTGGCAGGATCACCTGCACCATCTCATCACCAAGCTCTTGAAGTTATCAGGATAATTGGACTGAGTCAGAAGATCTGTTTCAGCTCAGGCATTAGTTAGCTCTATGACATTTTGAGTAAGATCACTTCACATCACTGAGCCTCAGTTTCCATCTCTGTAAATTGGGGGAGGGGAGTTACACTAGATAATTTCTAGGGCTCCCTCCAGTTCAAAATCCTGGGACTGACTCTCGGGAAATGCTCTTTCTCTCCCATTATCCTTCTCTTCTTCCCTCATGCCCTAGGACTCTGAGGCCAGAGACCTCTAGCTACAGAGCTGAGATTAGGTGAGGGGAAAGGGGGAGAGCAATGCTCCTGCCTCTGTATCTATATCCCCTCCTGGAACCTGAAAGAATAAAAGGGAGGCTGGGCTGATGCTAAGGTTGGAGAGGGCAGCATGGTCAAAGTTGGTCCCAAGCCCCTCCAGCTGCACATCAATCCCAGCAGCCCCCAAGACAGAAGGCACCATAGACCCCTAGTGGAGTCTTCAGATTTGGGCTCTTCTCCCAGCCCCCTCTGAGGATTCAGCACTTACCCCATCACAGGAAATATCAGCAGAGGGCTTAGGAGAATCGGGGGCAATGGCTCCAATGCATTCTTTCACCAGCTGTGAAGGGTTGCAGAGAGAATTCAGGACTGCCAGTCTGCAACCTCTGCCCCTGACATGCCAGGACTGACAACAAGCTCAAG